TGTATTTAGTACAGGGTCTACAGAGTCTCACTACACAGATCAGACTTGTAGTGATCCTTCTGTTTTCAACTTCCCAAGCGCTGGATTTACAGGCATGTGCCACCATAGCCAGTCTCAGTTTATGTCTCAGGATGCCCCAGGAGCAGGGCCAGCATGGCATGCAGGAGATTGAACCTTGGTTCCTGTGTCTGTCTAGCCAAGTACTTTAATCCACTGAGCTATCTGGCCGGCCCTGATTAGAAAATTAATTTTAAAATATGTTCAAGGTAATTTTGAAATAATATTCTACCCTTACTCTCTGGAATGATAGGCTAGACATTGTTAGTAATAATGACTGGTTAAAGGTAGTATTCTTAACTATCACCCCCCCCAATAAAAAGTCTTTAGCAGAAAAAAAAAATCTTTTTAAGGTATTATAATTTTTGCATTACAGTATTTAGTGACTTTGTCAGGAAAATAAGATGTCAAGAATTACGCTTTGATATGACATAAATAATTACAGAATTAAATGATTAAGATGATTTCACAACAAAAGCATATAGAAACTATAGTCCCATGAAATGCAAATGCAAAGTCTCCAAAGTTGTGCAAAGTGCTAATCATGCACTGTGTCTTCTTTGGATCCCAGCCAACCCTGAGAAAGGAGAGACCGCAGGCCTTGCCGCTGAGTCACTCAGGGACCTTGGGTAGAAAGGTCTTTTGTACAATGAGAAGTAAATAAAATGAAATTATCATTCTAAAATAGTTTCTGAAATGAATATTTTGTCCATTAAATAAGTAGAGTATATCTTTTCTGTCTGGTGCTACTCATGTGGATTGGGCCAAAGCCTAATACGTACAGTGAGTGGTCCCGATACATTCTTACTGAATTATACCCAGAAAGGACGGCACATAAAGATGAAAGAGGAATTATATGTAATTGATACTTCCTATAAAGTATGAATGTCTTCAAACCCTTGCAAACATAAGTACACACACTGAAATAAAAATAAGATTTGACTCTAATAGGTAGGAGGTAGAATATCCCTAAAATATTACCTATTAGTAATAACAATAAATTCTACTTATGTAGGAAAAAACATTTGGCAATATTTGTTTTCATCTAGAAGTTATGTAAAAAAAAATTAAAGAATTAAATATTTTCAGGTGAAATGGCACAAGTATAAACGACAAATGACCCATGGATTAGTGCTCTTAGTAGTGTGACTGATGAATTTTTGGCATGCCTGAAATCTGATAGTTAATAAAAAGTAGAGGAGAAGTACTGAAATCCAAAGAAAAAATAGTGGCTAAACAAGGCCAATATTCTAAACCTGAACAAAACTTGTTATAAAATGAGAATTTGTATTTGTATAGTTATCAAAGCACTCAAGCAAATTTTGATATTATAGCTTTGCTTTTAGAGCTGGTAGAACACATAAGTAGTACACATAGCTGGTACCTAAATAGAATTAAGGGTGATCAGGATGGCCAGCTTCCACAGAATGTCTTTTTAAAAATCCACTTCCATTGACAGTATGAGAATACACAGAGAGAAAATTTTCTGATGAATTACACTGATTTCATCAAATCTAATAGAACACTTTTCTGAAAATTAAGCATTAGGTATTTAAATTTTAATACCTTCATTTAGAGTTCAAGAATAAATTTTCTTTCAAACAAAAAAATTAGTTTATAATTTTCCACAATGATACCCTTATCTGCCTAAAATGCAGTAGAGTAACACTTAGGAAACTATTTTTAAAATGTAATTACTGGGGCTGGGGAGATGGCTCAGTGGTCTAAAGCACCTACTTAGAACAAGCTTAGCAAAGCACAGGGACCACAGTTCAATCCCCCAGCACCACATGCCAGCCAGCCCCGCCCCCTGGTGGGCTGAGCTGGCCACACACACACACACACACACACACACACACAAATAAATAAATAAAATTTAAAAAAAAAAAATAAAATGTAATTACTTCTAGACAATTCACTGTAAAAATAATTATACTTAATTTTCTAAATGGCTCTAAATTTATTGAAATTTTGACTTAATATTTATTTTAATAATTAAAAAGATGATCTAACTAGTAAGCTAACATTTTATTGATTGTTCATTAAAACAAATATGTAATTTATTTCCTTTATTTTAAACTCACTCCTTGTAAGGCTGGGCATAGCAGTGCAGGACTAGAGTCCCAGAACTCTGGAGGCTGAAGTAGGAGGATCACTAGGAGTTTGCAGTCTCCTAGTAAGATTCTCTCAAAACACCAAAATAAAGAAATACAATCATCAATTCTCATGTAACTTGGCCCATTAGAATATGTACACACACACACACACACACACACACACTTTATATTTCACACTACTCTTAGGTACAATTTTCTCTTTAACAAAACTTTAATAGATTCAGTCACTCTACTTCTTACCAAGGCAAGTTACAGAGTTCTTGGAAATCCATTTTCACTGTTTATTTTAGAAGAAAGGAGTCTCCTCGATAATGTATTGGTATTAAATATGGAAAGGTTTTATGCAATATTATGGAAACAAAGAGTACCTAAAAGCATATTTGGGCAGGACTTCCAAGCCCTTGACTCAAAACTACTGCCTCAGATTTAATTTTTAAAGAAATCAGATTGGTTCCCAAAACACAATTTTCTTGTCAAATTCAATGCTAAAAAAGCTCACTGGGGAATTTTCACAGAAAGTCTAGGGTAGCTTAGTTCAATGGAAAAAGTAAAAAATAAATGGCTATAATTCAATGAAATGTGGAGCAGGAAAACAAAGCCTTTATAAGCAAGGTGGAAACCTTTCGGAAGGGTCCCGGCATCAGGCGCTCGGAGTGGATCACGGGAGCCCGGCAGCCCTGCAGCTAACCTGCCGGGGTCAGTGGCTCAGGAGGAGGTGGGTCGGGAGCGCCAGGGAGGCTATTGATCGCTGGTACCCGCTGCACAGACAGGAGCTGACAGTAATTAAAATGACTTACACACTGGGATGGTTTCAAACTCAAATCTTCGACTGAAGACACCGTAGCCCGCTGCTGTTCGTGCTCGAATTTGGAAGACGTACACTGAAGCTGGCTTCAAGCCCTCCGCGGTGATAGTGGTCTCTTTCGATTTGATAATAGTGTAGCTGGTCTCCTGATCCTGGGTGGCACAGGCACAGGCAAAGAAAACAAGTCCCCATATGAGTTACTCATTATATTAGCATTAAATGCTGACAGTACCTCGTATTCTGCGAGGTTAGCTTTCAGCGTTCAATCAACACTGAATCAGATTTCACTGATATTTAGAAATCGGAAAAAATTGATATTTGTCTGAAAAATTTTAACTTTGACTTACTCAATCTAACCAGAAAATACTGAAGAAAAATGAAAATACATAATTCTAATTTTTTCTTTTAAAATTTCCTCCTGTGAGAGTGGAACTAACAAAGTAGGAGGGAGAAAGAGTAAAAAGCAAATTACTGGGCCAGGGAGATACCTCAGCAGCATAAGCGCCTGCCTGGCAAGCATAAGGTCACGAGTTGGACCCATGATATCAATAAATAAGTAAATACATTTAATTTAAAAAGGAAAGTAAATTACCAAGAAAGGAGTTTGGAAACAGAAACAAGTAGGGCATTTTGTTTTCTGCAGTTGCCACATTGACTTTAGTTTGGATACTGAAATCAAAGGTTAAAAGGTAGCAAGTCCATCTTTACTTTGATACTAGGTTTGTAATATGGAGCAGGAATTGTTGTCTGAATTTCCTCACAGAAAGGCGAGAATGAACAACTAATGTGTGTAAAAACATGTAAAGAATGAAAATGCATGTTTTCATTTTCGTCATTTTAATTTTTCTCAATTTAGGAGCCAAGATTTAGCTCTAACCACTTTCTACTCTGCCAGCAATAAGACCTAAATCAGAAAGCTTAAAGTACTCTTCTTTGAAAATAATTTCCCACACCCTCTTCACTAAGTTCAAACATGTTATCTTTAAGTTGAGTACATCCCGACTGCACTTAGAATAAGCACGGTCTAATTTATAGGAGACACCATATTCTGATTCATGCTAGACGAATGGCTGATCTTTAGTTTTAAAGTACAGATTAACATGTCTAATCTTAAAGGAACTTAGGAAATTTTATGAATGTTTTGTAAAGGATTTAAAATAGGTAGCTAAATCCTACAAAGCTTTACCATGTAATATCATGGTAAATTGATTACTATGTAATATCAATTTCTTCACCCAAACAATATGCTGAACCTCTATGTAGCATGCTACTCCTCTTCCTTAGCCTACCACAGAAGTTAACAGAAAATCATCCATCCAAGCGTCCTTCATAAGAAATGCACACATACAGTATTCAACCAGTGCTTAGGTTTTCACTGAATAAACCCCAAAATGTTATTTACTATTTCTCAGTGTTACTGAGGATGAGTAACATTATTTTTGGTAGTGCACATTCCATTTTGGCTATGACCACAGTAGTAAGAAATGAATAGCTGTTCAATAATATTTCTATCTGTTTAAAGAGAATTCAATATGATAGAAAATTCTAGTCTGAAATAAAGTGAGATTCTTGCATACTTGATGTGACAGTTTTACATAAAGTATTAACATTTATAAAATAAAATAGATTTAAAAAAAAAAGAACCACAACAGTAACAGAAAGAGTATTAGAACTCTGACTGTTCAGTGCCTGTATATGTGCAAATATTGATTCAGAACTCAGGATTTTAGTTAGTTTTGTTTTTTTTTAAATAGTGATGAAACTATAAACATAACTGAGAGGAGGTGAGCTAGAGATAGTACTCATCACGCCTAATCCAACCTCCACAATGTAGTAGACCCCAGGCAGATGTGACTTATTCCTATTTTCTCAGATCATGGCAAAGTTTCCAAAGGTATTACAAGCTTGAAAAGATTCAACAGTTGTAAATCCTAAGTATAGGCGATATAGCGTATTCACAATATAGAAATACTACAAACTGCTGCTTCTGCCAAGAGGGAAATCAGAGTGCTGACCCATGAAATAATGTGTGACTTAGTATCAATTCCACAAAAAGGCAGAATTTGCTCTGACTTTAAGGATTCACATCACTTCTCACTGATTACCAAAGTATAATTGTACATTGCCTTGCTGGGTTAGCTGAATACTGGGTTATTAAAGAGAATTTTAAAAAAGCATGTATCTAACAACAAAACCATGGAATACGTATTGTGAACAGTCAAAGTATCTTCTACAATCGCTTTCTTTCCCACCCTTTCAGTTTCTCACTGTCATTTTCTTCCCATCACAAGCCCTGTGGGTACTTCTTCACGCCCACAGCCACCTGGCTGCCAAACCCCTGTCAGGGCAGTGGCTTTTGCTCTTTCTTGGCCCCTGCTGAGCAAATGAGCTGCATTCCCCAGCTGCTTAGCAGGCACTGCTCCTGTGGAGGAGAGGAGGGCCCGGGGAAGAGCCAGCTGGCAGCCACTGCCACAGGGCAGCTTCGCTTCTCCCCGGCCTTTAATTAAGAGATGGCCAGAGGCCCATCCCCTCGCTGGCACAGGACGCCCATGACCTCTATTAGAGCAGAGCGCTCAGAGGCAGCGGTGCCAGCTGGCAAACATCTGAGCGCTGCAAGCTCAGCCACCTGGGTCTGGCCGGGAGCCAGCCAGTAAGCACGGTATCGTTCTGCGTGTTCTCAGCAGCTCTGGAAGCCCACCACGGCCCCTGCCTCAGCAAGTGCTATAAAAGCTCAATACCCCCCAAAAAAGTGTTATAAAAATCTGTCTGTATATTCTATGGTACTGTCTAATATTTGTCTTGACAAAAACCCCTGGGAATTAACTTCTTCATTGTAAAACAGAAAAAAACACTAACAAAGAATTTAATGTCTATCAAAATAATATGTGACAAATATTTTGCCACTTTTAAAGCTTGAATGTACCAACTTGCTATTAATTTATTGAGGACATTAATCAATAATTTGTCCACAAGTAATTTTTCTTACTCTCTGTTACACAAATTGAAGAATTTATTAATGCTGCATTAAACATAAGCAATTAAATATAAGACTAAATCATGATGATATGAATGTAATTTAAAAAGAATCAATCCATACAGAGAATCGTTCCACAAAAGCACAGATAAAATTTAGCAGAGGAAATGATAAGGAAAAGAATCTGCCAAGCGGTGACTTGTTTAGTAACTGTTCTGACAGATACAGCAATTTAAAAAAATGTCCTCGTTACCACTGAACATTATATAAATGTGGCAGAGAAGTAGCAACAGTAATCTGCACTGCTAATAAGGAATAAAAGGAAAATGATGATTTTTTATTAATGACAAAAAAGCCATTCGTTGTCCCAGCTATTGATTAAACAGAACAAAAATAGTACAGGTAAATAATTGCTTCTCGAAGTTTTAGTTTTCTGTTGTTAAACTTTACTTCATTTATGGTATATACATATATGCAAATATAGTTTGATGTAGACATCTGATTTTAAAATTCAATGCATTTCTGTTTCTTTTAGCATCAACAATTAATCACGATGATAATTTGGACAGGTAGACTGATCATAGTAGAAGTTAACATTCTTACACATACATGTACATTATATACACTTTCTACATATTTTTACATTAGTGTGGAACACTATAGGCTACCAAAATGGAAGCCTTAGTTGTCCATATTACTCTTACATTAATATGTGCCTATACTGTGCACTGGTGGACTGTGCGTGTTCCTTCATTGATCGCAGGAATCAGCAGTGTTCATGGCACTGCTGTGCGTTCCTTGCTCTGGGCTCCACGTCTGTGGACGATGACTCTGCGGGCGATGTGCCTATGGGAGCTTACCTCTGAGGAGTGTCTGCAGGTTATTTCTAGTGTAGAATGTAGTTGGCAAGATATTTTTATGACACATCTTATAAGTTACATCATCTATGTTCCCTAATGAGCCAACGGTTATAGATAATGCTACCATGAACTCATTCCTAGAAAGATAATGATCTAAATAGAAATAGTAGATTGTTTGTCATCTATTAATAAAATCCATTCATGGCCATTAAGGTTCTCAAAATCTAGAAATAAAATGTGTGCAGCTCTTTTGCTGCCTCAAGCTGCTGTTTTGCCCTTTGTTGTATCTTCACAGTTAATAGCTGAGTTAATGAATACGGAAAGCCACTGTTTATAAAAAGTCTCTATAACTTTATGAGAAATTAATATTTGATATGTTTACCTAACCTCATCTATCATCCATCCATCCATCCATCCATCCATCCATCCATCCATCTTGCCAGCTAGTTATGATATCAATAATCTTAAAAGTTTAAGTCGTTTGCATTAATAGGACATGAGCATGTTATGTGGTGATAAGTGGAAAAGCCACTCATTCCTCTTTTTTCCATGTCCTCCCTTGCACAATTTTTTAGGTAGCGTGATGATTAAGGTGGGCTAGCACCTGCTATGACTGAGAGCAGCCTGTGGACTGGTGAGACTTGTCCCTGGGTGTCTGTGGTCTGGGAGGCCTGGCATTGGGGTCTGTACACTCCCCTGTGCCCCTTCAGCTCTGGTGCTGCTCTGTGTCTGGGCCACCATGAGCCACACAAGTTTGTTCTCCCAAATCCTTCTGCCCTGGAGTCAGCTAAACATGGACAGAGTCCTCTGAAACTCTGAAAAGAATTAATTGCTCTTCGTTTAACTTTCATTTTGCCAGAAATGGATAAGCTAATGATCCATAGACACCCATACCCATAAAGGCATTATAGAGTGTTTGTATTGTCCATTATGCTCTTTATACTTTCTAAAAAGAGAAGAAGTGATGTTTTTTCTAAATTTGAGAAGCACTGAGCAAGCAAGGCTCAGTCCTCTTTGGGCACCTCTTGGTCCATATCATGTCTATGGGCTACTACTTCCTTGTCACCAGCCTACCTGGGCCATAGTCTCCGGTCCACATCTTTCAGTCTGGCATGGGGCCCATGTAGCTTCCTGGTGAGTAGAAATGGGGTTGTCCTAAGGGGTGTATGCCGTTCACATACAGACTGTAGAGAACCTCCAGCTGAGCTGGAGCAGAGCGAGAGCGCAGGGCTCTGCATTTCAGCCACATTTTCTGGGTCAGTGTAGAAGTGAAAAACTCACCCTTCCTGGCCTTCAGATGACTCCACTGAAAATAATGTACTTGATTGCAAATTCAAAAATGAGAAAAGGGTGATGCTACTTTTAGATCGCAACAACCATGATGGTAAAATACACAGCAGTGAACCTAAGAGACTGCTTACCCAGGTAGAAAGAGGAAATCAGGAAAATAGAAGGAATGGAAGGAGTATATTTCTAATTTTCACTTCAGATTTTAGAATGACACTTGTAGAATTTTAAAATAGCATTTATGTTAGATATTTGCTCTAAAAAGTTGAAGATGTGTGCTATATGTGTGTCTCATCTAACTGTACTTCCTTAACAATACAGATGCTACAAGTTGCTGGTCAACAATAGGCGAGGCTTTCCTTACAGCATTCGGCAGGCACTGCTGAAGAAGAACAGCCTGAGTACTGGTGACTTGGAACATGTTCTGACTCTGTCTTCTGATGCTGTGAAAACTAGGTATGCCCACATGACTCCACAGCGGGATCAGGAAGGGGCGGGCAGAGCTGGGTGCTCCCGCAGCCTCCCTCCACCCTCGGGACTCCAGGATCAGCTGCCACTGACTTACACATAAAAGTGCAACACACACTTGTACAACCCAGATAACTGCAGCTACTAAAATGAAAAAATGAATAAAATAAACCTGTTTCATTCTTCTCATCTCACCTTTTCAAAATACTTGATTTCATATTCCAGGATTATTCCATTGGGGCGATCCGGCTCTTGCCAAGATAAAGAGATGCTGTTTTTTGCAATCTTCCCCTTTTTCACATTGGTGACTGGAGAGGGAGCTATAAAATAACACAAACAAAGAGAAGCATGACGAATGAGCCCCTGAAATTACAGCCTATTCTGTGTATTACCTGTATTATCATTTTTAGGATGTGGTACAATAAAAATTCCAAACAATCAAACGTTCTTTTAATTCAATGATTCTATCTTAAATAAACTGTTACAGATTAAGAACTGAGTTACTAGCCAGGGAGATGGCCCAGTGGAGTAAGTGCTCGCCTGGCAAGCGCAAGGGCCTGAGTTCAATCCCTGGTTCCGCAAAAAAGAAAGAACTGTGTTACTATCTTGAAATATTTTACAAATCTATGTTAACAAAATTTTAGGTATCCATTCACTCTAGAATGTTTAGAAATATAGACAATGTATTTTATTATTCACATTTAAAAAGACATTTTGGATGACATCCTCTGTTTCTATTAACTCTGCTATGTGTCCCTTAATGGTAACAGATGCCTCATTACTGCTATTGGGACATTTCTGCAACATTGTGGCTCTTTACTGCATTTATTACTTCTAAGACTTAAGTTCACTATCATTAATGCACATATGTATTGATAGGTCAGGATTCAAAGTTTCTCAGGTACCTTGCCCCAAACATTCTCCCTCTTGGTTTCCGAGGTACCCTGCTCCCAAACTCTCTCCACCAGAGTCCCACACATAGCCAAACACAAAACCGCAGAACAGGTCCACCTGACTCTGACCTGGGCAAGCCACCATGGAACTCTCCTTTGTTGACATTAAAGGTGTCCCACAGACCAGGTAGCCTGCCAAGATTAGCTTTCCCTCAGCTGTCCCAGGCTGTGATCACTCTCTTGAAAGATCCTAGAAAGTCTCCCGTCCCCGCTTTACTCGCTGTTGTCTTGGTCTGCTAGACAGTCAGCCTGCTTGATGCCCCTAGAAAATCTTCTGCTTGGGTCAGAATGCCTGGTCTGATTGATTGTGCGGGTTCGTATCTAACATATATTATATACAGTCATTTTCCCTTAAAATATGTCACTAAATATGTGAATTTCTAGAAATCAAGGTTTCTTGACTTTAACTTCCCAAAATTATTTTACTAGAGGTCAGTTACTTATGGTCCTCAGTGCCATCTGCTGTAGGGTCTATTAGATACTCATTTGCAATAAAAATTTTAAAAAAATTATATATGCTGCTTCAGAAAAATCTGGGCCCTTAAATTCACAAAATATCTAGATGCTGAACCAATACCTATTTTTATCAGTTGGCTGTGACTTGTATGGACTCTCTGGGTTTAATAATATAAAGAGTTGACTAATAGTTTTCCTAATGTAATGACCAATAGTTTTGGAGACTTTGACTTTCATAAAGATGTAGGAAAAAATGACATAACTAATGGGTGGTGTGTGTGTGTGTACCTATATGTGGTATCTCTCAGTGTCATGGTTAGGGTTCAGATCGAGTGTCTTGCACAGGTCCATGTGTGTGAGTGGGAACCGTTGGAAGGTGACTGGATTGAGGGAGTGCTGTGCTCGTCGACAATAGCGGCAAGGAAAATATCTGCACATGTTCTGAATATGCACAACCTGCTGATATGGAGCGAAGACTGCCTGTGCTCGCGCTGTGTGCACACAGGAAGGCAGACAGACAGACGGACAGCTAGTTTTTCATGGAAAGGGTACCAGCCACAATAAGTAGTGAACAATCAGAGGCACGGCTTTATCTGAGTAGCAGCAGACACCTGGCAAGCTTAAATTAGAGCTCTTTAGATTGCCAGCATTACCCAGGCAAAGGCACATTTCCCAGTTGGTCATGTTTAATTTTTCCATCACTTCAGAAATGCAACCAAACTACTGACAGCACTTTGGACAGCAGATTGCAAGGACAGCGTTTAGCAGAACAAGATCTTTACACCAGATTAAAGAGCAGTGTGCTCACGCAGAGGCTGCTTTACCGCAAAAGAGGGATCCCATTCGTGTGCTCCTCGTAGCCCTGGAGTGCCTCTGCCTCAGCTTAAGCGCCGACCTGGATGCAGGTGGGGACTGCTGCTGTTTGGCCCCTGCGTCTTGCCAACCCCACCTCCTGCTGCTGCGCTTCTCGCTGCTCCGGCCTTCAGTCATCTGCACTCCAGTCACACTCCTACCCAGCGCTCATCTCGCAGCCCTGCACTCACAGTGCTGCCCGAGCTCCAGGGCTCTGCCCTGCCCCTCCTAGGTGTGGGCTCGATGGTCTCAGTGCCCACTCTACTGACCTTAGGAATCACCTCACTGCATCCCCTCTCCCCTCCACGGTCCTTCTGCTCCTTGGGGGCCTTCCTTCTCCCTACAGCTCTCACACCTCACCACCTGACATGCTACACATGTCCATAGTTGGGCTTTCCCCAATCCTTTCTAATACAATGCAGAAGATTGTTTCCATTTCCACAGCTGAATGTTCAGTCTCTATACAGTGCCTGGGACAGGGAGAGGGCCAATGAACACTTGCAGAGTGAAGGAATGATGGCAACAATAAGTCCAATTTTTATTTTAATTTTTTTAAATTTTCGATCAATGACAACAAATTCAACAGTGAAACTCATGGTGAAGAATGTCTTTCCATAAAATGTCCCCACCATGATGTACTCACAATACACTGCAAACATGACTAATAAAAATAATACAATTTAAGTACAGATAGGTGGACATAATCTAGTAGATGCCAAAGGATGTCAAAAACCTTGTGTCTCATATACCCATTAAAGAATGATCATATGTTATACTTTGACATGTAGCTTTTATTCTTTGAATGCAGAGTGTGGTGATAGCTGGGTACAGAGGAGGCATAGTCTCCATCTGTCTATTTCTTAATTAAGCATATCAGTTCCATAAAGTTTTCTGGAATGAGGCAAAATATGTAATGTGCCCACCAAGCCAGTTGTTTAAAAGTAATACTGAAATTGCTTGCTTCAGGGAAACCACGACTAACTGGCAGTTCTTCCAGTAACCTTACGGTGTGGGCCCAGAGTTCCTATTGATTTCCATGGAGGGAAGATTTTGCACCACGTTCAGTCTGTGAACACAGCGTTCGGCCGACATGGTCACAGCAAGAATGACCTATGGGCATCCTAGCTCGCTGCGGCATTTGCAGCAAAATAGCAAATTTACCAAAGCAGTAACAGGATTAATATTTTAAATGTTTGTTCAAGAAATTATGAAGTATCTTATTTTCCTGTACCATCAAGTATTCACTGAATATTTTACATTAGTAAAAATCCAGATTAAAAACTAAAGTCTTCAACGTTCTTCTCTTACCAATATTCCTCAGACTGGTAGGTTTCACATCATCACATCTGTATCCACAGAGTGAATTTAGAGTGTAAGCCTCATGCAGGCAGGAGCTGATGTACAAATAAAATAGGTGGCTGTTTCATTTCCAGGACAACGTTATGACTTAACAGTCATAAATTTAGTGATCACTGAGCAGATGGAGAGAGGGCGGGAGGAATGCCTGATACATAGTTCAAAGCTGAGCTTGATTAACTTAGCTGCACGTGTTCAAATAATACCAAGTTAGGGTTTGCAGGTGTATTTCGTTTTAATAAAATAACCAACCACTTCAAAGTGAAACTATCAAAAAAGCATCAACTCAGATGCAACTGGTCTAAGAAAGAGCGTTTGCAGATCCACTTTCATCCATCACAGCCAACCTGAACTCTTCAGCTCCCAGAGACTGAATTAGCCAACACCCATTATTTTTCAACTTCCATTTTCTCAGAGGCTAAAAACGTTCTGCGATGTAATGGTTCAGAAAGGGTGATGGACATTACTTTTGGCTCAGCGTGGTGCAGGGCTTGTTTTCTCTGCAGTGGGAGCTCGCCCAGGTCCCTGCGCAAAGCTGAGAGAAGGGAGACATGATGGTGCTGCTGGATTGTGAGCAGCAGCCACAGCATCAGAGCCCACTGCATTCTCCTAACAGTGAGGACCAGACTCCCTGCGCATTCCACCTTTCACTACTGAAGGCTAGTACCAAATGAGAAGGACAACTGTGGAAAATTTCTGCACATGAAATTTGTTGAATGAATCCTATCAAGGATCCCACATCCCATTAGTCTGCATGTTTCTTAAGGTTCCTCTTAGCTTGTTGATTTTCAAACTTTTCCTTGATTTGAAGACTAACAGAACAAGAGCACACTGATTGAGTAAGGAACTTGGTAGACTATCTCTCACCTGGGATTAACTTCATACTTTTCTCATGCTTAGCCTGGGGTTGTGAGTGTTTTGTGGGCCTGTGGAGGAGTGAAGTGCCATTCAATCACATCATTTCATGGTACATCCTTTCAGTGAAACACTATCATGTTGACTTTGGCCATCTGATGAGATGGGCTTCATCTGACGATTTCACATTGTCCATATTCAGCTCCCTACAATGTATTCTTTTAAGGGAAGTCTTTGGAACAGCCCACAGTTAGGAAGTGGAAGCTGATGAACCACCTCCTTCAGGTTGTCACAGCTGCACAGAATTGTCTGTCCTTCCTCCGTTTTAGTTACCAAATCATTTACCTATTGCAGTATGACCACATCAAAAAGAACTTTATAAACTTTCTTACAATAGTTCCTGTTTATCACTAATGAATCAGATCATTTACATGCTTTAAAGCTCCATCAGGCCAAGTGGAATGCTGTCATCTGGCTGACGCACCCCGCCTCTGTTCTGTGCAACTCATTACTCTTGGCTGTCCTGTCATCCAGGCAGCTCTTCATTAGTTAAAAAAAAAATCTTTTATGTATTTGGTACAGGATCTTGCAACACAGCTCAGACTCATGGTGATCCTCCTGTCACAGTCTCCCCAGTGCTGGGATCACAGGCATGCACCACCACACGGGGCTTCGATGGCCCGCAAGGCACACAGCATGGCGTGGGCACCAGGGATGGAATCTGGGTCCCTGCACTTATTGGGCCTGGGCATAGACCACGAGCTATCTCAGCAGCCCCAGGCAACTCCTTCAGTGTTTCAAAAATTCTCACACTTCTTTCCAAAATATTTAGACACATTAGGACAGAG